TGGCCTGTGCCCTGCCCATCATACCAGCTCAAGGTCCAGCACCCAGGACGTGCTTGACAAACGCTCACTAAATAAATACTATACAGAATTAGTAGGTGGCGAGGCCTGCTGCTGCTCTGGCTGGGGTACACTGCACGGCCTCGGAGGGAGCACACCCCAGAACCTCAGCTAGGCCCTCCCGGTTACGTGCAGGGAACTGAGTCTGGATCCCAACTTATTGAGAGGTGACCGGGCAAGGCAATCAGCCTCAGCATCCACCACCAGGTCCATCCTGGTGCAGGACCATCAGGAGCATGGTGCCCTGAACCAGCGCGGCCTCCTCCCGACCTGCGGTCAGCACAATTCTCAACAAGGCTAAGGGGAGCGGCCAGTGATTCTCCCAGCGCATCAGCATGGGGTTTGTTTCCCAAAACAAACAGCGAGCACAATCCGGGTCATCGCCAGCCAGACCCTGGTGTCCACCAATAGGACGATGTGTCTGAGGACCTGAACAAGTGGGTTCTATGTAGTGCACGACCTTCTCTGCTGAGGTCCAAGAAGTCGCTGACAGAATGAGCAAAGATTTGTGGTGGGGTGACGACGGATTGTTTTGTTCTGTTCTGGTCTCATTTCATTAATCAGAAGTCACATAAGAGGGCAATTTAAGAATCATTATTAAAAAAAGTTCATGGCAGCTAATATCTTTAAAAATATAAAGATGAAGATGCTACTGGAGAAAAATAAAATCCCTAAATATCATCAATATGACAAAACTCAGTTTGCTTTTAAAAGTGGAAAAGTATCATTTCTTCAGTATGAATATGGGATCGACGCTTTGCTTAAATGAACTCTCTGGTTAAGCCGTTTGATGCCCCACAAACCCCAGGAAGGATCCACTGATGGAACTAGGGATCAGCAATGTCGAACAACTGCCAGTACATCTTTCATTACAAGATTTGAAGAGGCTCAGAAATTCAGTCATGGTAGTCTTTGAAGCACCACCCGGAAGGGGCAGTGGGAAGGGACAGCACCACCTCACCTGCTCTGTACCTGTCCAGGAAAAGACCCCAGCCACATTCTGGTGGGAGGTGGCAACCCCCTGCTGTCAATCACCAGCAAAGGGGCGGGGCCTCCAACAGGAAGTAGCAGCTGGCCCGGCCCTGGGCCTGGTTCAGGGCAGTGTGAGTCCCAGACTTGGGAGGTGGGTGCTCAGATGGTGAGGATGAGCCAGGAGCTAGGAGATGAGCCCTGAAACCCCAGCAGAGCAAGGCATGCCTTGATGGCCAGACATCTGGCTGCAAACATTGGTGTTTATTTCCGTCTTGTCTTCCCTAAGGGGCATTCAGCAATTGGTTCCCTCCTGTTCCTGGCCGAATCGTGGGCATTGAGGGAAGGGTCTGGGCGCTAAGTCTGGAAGGAATGGGTCATTGGCAAAACTGAGGGAGGCACAGAGGTTCAAGAACTTCCCCCAAACCACAGGGCAGTAAGTAAGAGCTGGGTATAAACCCTGGCAGCATCCGCCCGCCAGCCAGGGTGGCATAACTGCCTGAAGATGCAAATGTTCAGATGAGTGAACGTGTTTTTCTCATGAGGCAGAACAGGTGTGAATGTCATCCACAGAGGCCACCAAGCACACGTGACAAATGCATGATGTGCTGAAGAACAGCAAGAGGGTGGCTATGCATTATGTGTTCACATATCATGTAATTGCCCTTTAAAGACCAAGAGGTGGGGGGCCGGCCCCGTGGCTTAGCGGTTAAGTGTGTGCGCTCTGCTGCTGGCGGCCGGGGTTCGTATCCCGGGAGCGCACCAACGCACCGCTTCTTCTGGCCATGCTGAGGCCGAGTCCCACATACAGCAACTAGAAGGATGTGCAACTATAACATACAACTATCTACTGGGGCTTTGGGGGGAAAAAAATAAATAAATAAAGTAAGACCAAGAGGTGGGCAAATTGTGCGAGGTCAACGTAAATTAGTGTCAAGTCGAAATCATGGGATTAAGTGTGTATCATGTTTATTAAAGATTATCATTTTAATTCATTCAGGCACTTTGTAACTAAAATCTCATTTAATGAAGTCTTTCATATTACTGATTCTTGCAGAAACGCACGGATGTACATTATTTAGAATGAACGATGTCAAAGGTTTGAAAGCAGACACTTCTCGGATGATGCAGGACACCTAAATACACTCTACTCCCTTAAGTAGTTTAAACCTTTCCTCTGAAATCTTTGTATTATTAATATTATTAATGTGGCTTCGATGCCTTTTTAAAAAACAGATCATGCAATCAAGCTCTGATTAAGCTCTCCTGGAGCTCCGAGCGTTCTCACTGGCTCTTCCTGCGTGTGGAGAGGAGCTCTCAGCCCTCAGGGCAGCAGGGCTGGGGGCAGCGCTGTCTCAAGAGGTTCAAGGCAGACAGAAGGTGCTGGGGACCCTGCTTCCATCGGACCTAGAAGCACAAGACAGTGCAGGAGCCGGCAACCCCAAAAAGTGGAGGAGGTGACAGGGGCCTATGGGTCAAAGATCACAGGCTACGCAGCTCTGAGGAGCAGCGGCGGGTGGAGGGCCAGGCTGTAGTCCACTGTCCCGCACCCTGAGTCTACAGGACTTGCTACAGATGATCCGTGCCAGGTTCTGTGTCTTGTAAGAGGAGCCGGTCCCCAGGCGGTGCTGATCTTGTTTGTCTGGGAGAGGAGAGGACTAGAGCACACATCCACTGATAGGCAACCCCCCACACCGGGTTCTATTTTGAGTGGGAGGTGTGGGGCCAGACGGGACAGGTGGTATTCCCTGTCCTTTGCTGGGACCTCAGAGGGAAGAGTCAGATGTGGTTTCCAACAAGGCAAAGGCCCTTAGTGAGACACTGACGGCTCCGCTTGGGGGCCAGGCGTTCAGCCCTCGCCTCCTCCTGCGTCCACTGCTCCCAAGACCTTGGGGTCCGCACCCAGGGCGGGAGGAGGTGCACCCAGAGCTGGGAGGATATGGGTGTGCTTAGCCCAACTTTATTGATGAGAAACTGAGGCCAGGAGAACCTAAGGAATCTGTCATGGGGCACAAAGCAACAAAACGAGAGGAAAGATCCACCCAAGCTGTCTGATGGTGGAGTCCATGACCTCCAGCCACCCACCTGACCACCCTCACGCCCCCAGAGCGAGGCCACTCCCTGTCCTCACTCTGTCCAGGGCCAGTGCTCCCCAGGCAGGTGCGTTCTTTGCCTCTTCTTCCCGGGGGTCTCTCTCTGAGCACCGTGCCTGCTGCTCACCGTGAACTCATTTTGCTGATTTGAATTTGGTTAATTACAGCACCAGTCTCCAGAAAGGGGGCATGGGCAGCAGCTTGGGAGAGGCAGCCCCAGATCCTGACAGACGCTTCTCTCTGTCCAGCCCGTGGGCTCTCTCTCCGTGAAACCCAAGAGCATGCTCAGAAGACGAATGAGTGAGAAGCACACACGCACACTGAAAAGGAAAGAAGCTATGCGTTCACCGGCACCAATCAAGTGATTTCACTCATTTCACCTAAATGAGACCCTGCCCACAGCTACAGGATCTTCCGCTCTGACTCGGGGGCTTCTGCCAATCCCTCGATCATCCTAGTCAAGGACTTTGGGGTCCAGCGCCATGGATGTGGCCATCCTGACGTGCCACTCCATCTCACACACCTGGAATGTTGCTCAAGTCTTACTGAGGCTGAGCCAGAGTCCCCCTCCCCGCAACTTCTAGCTCCTGATTCTGGGTCTGCTCCCTAGCCTGCTGCCCTGAATCCTCTCTGGGGCACAGCCCCACCCACCAAGAAGCCCCAAGTCTTCTGTCTTTAGGATGGGGCGGCAGGTGAGCCCCCAGCCCCGCCCTCCAATGCCTCATCACTGGGTAAAGGAGCTGCTTTAAAACATTCTGTCCAGAAGCGACCAAAATCCTTTGGCTAAAACAAAATTTGTGTTTATGATGAAGAAGCTGTGCCACACAGACTCGACTAAGTCGGGTGCCCCGGAATTTCCCACACTGCCCTGTGGCCATGGGCTCCACCTGCTGCATCTGAGAGCAGGGCATCTCCCTCCTCCGCAGCCTGCTGCAGCTCAGGCCCTCACCTCTTGCGAGCAAAGTCTCCGGAAGGCACTCCTTGTCTGGCCTCTGCCCTTCCAGCCACCCCAGTGCACTGCCCACGGCCACTCTGATCTTTTGGAAAAGGCACTGTCCACTTAAACTATTACCGCTGGAGAAAGTCCGAGAGCTGTTTGTGTCTAAACATCCTTCTCCTTCTGGTTTATGACAGACTGCTGCATACAACCCTGAGATGTCCACCTGAGATGTCTCTGCAGGACACAAGGAATTTCTTTCTCATACAGATTTCTCTCCCACTTTGAGCCCCCCAGCTGCCCCTGCTGCCCGGGCTCTGCCCAGAGCCAGCGCTGAGGGCCAAATGCTGGCTGGCTTGTTTGTCTGCTGAAAGACCTCGAGGCCCATCAGCAGAAGCTGCTGTGTCCCTGCACCCGCCAGGGGACGCGTGGCTGTGACAAAGTACAGCACACCACCAGACAAACAGTAAGCTTGAATGTTGTTTAAAATGAGTTTGAGTGCTCCACTTCGGCAGCCTGGGGTTCATGGGTTCAGATCCTGGGGATGGACCTACACACTGCTCATCAAGCCATGCTGTGGCAGTGACCCACATACAAAGTAGAGGAAGCCTGGCACAGATGTTAGCTCAGGGTCAATCTTCCTCACCACAAGAGAAAAAAAAGCAGGTTGTTAAATGAGTTTGAGTTTTAAAAAGTAGGTGTACATACATGAGGTTCATTGCTTTTGGTATCAATCATAAGGGAATGCTTAAGGATGCAATCATAAGGGAATGCTTAAGGATGTCATTTTTAAGTGATGCTCTAAAAAAAGCAAATATTTAAAAACAAGCAGGGGGTCCCCTCTGAGTACAGTATCACAGCATGGCTCAGCACTCGGGCGATGTGGGAGGTGCTAGTTTAGAGCCCATCCCCACCCCAGGCCACAGCAAACCTCGGACACTGACCTGTTTTTCTGAGAGGGAAGTCATCTTTGGCGTCGTACATTCCCAGGACCGGGTGGTTGTAGGAGGCCGACACCCCACTCTGGGGCGGGGAACTCTGGTCAAGGGAACTGTGCTGCGTCTTCCTGGAGAAAACAGGCACAGAGAGTTGGCTTAGTTAGCCCAGGGCACGGCCCGGCGCGGCGTGGCTATTGAGAGTAAGTGGACATTGAAGCCCAAGCAGGTGTCCCCACGGATGGCCCCTCCTTTGACACCTCGGTGGACTGGCCTCCTCTCTGGGGCAAGACTGTAATGAAACAACAACCAACGCTGACCACAGACTCCACCGCCTGACTCGCAGTGCGGGAGGTGCAGCCGGGGTCCTGGGCCCGCTCTCTGCCCTGCCCCCCTCCTCGCAGGTGGCTCCTGCACCAGCCTGTTCTCTGGCTACCGGGGTTACCACTGCCACAGAAGAGCCTGTCCATGGGGCACAGGGGGCAGAGGCAGGCAGGAGGGCTCCAGGGGTAAGAAGCAAAGGTGTGGCTGGAGGTGCCGAGACCCAGCAGGGATGCTTCGTGAATGTGTGCTGGTGACGTCTGGGGTCCCTAGGGCATGAGCCACATGCGGACTTCCCTTCAGCGAAAAACATCCAGTCTTCATCACCAGAATGAAATCACCCCGTCATTTCCCCTTCCTTGGGGCGGGGGACGGCGTGGGGGGTGGGTTGGCAGTAGCCAACAGCTTCTGCCCTGGTAGTCAATCTATGACATTCACTTCCTTTATGAACAGCCAGGCATGACCCAAATCCTTAAAATGGCTCGACAGGAGCCGGCTGCCACAAGGAGGCTCAGAGGAGGGAAGGAGGGGGAGTCAGATGATGGGGGTGCTGGCTGCCCTCAGGATGACCATCGGCAAGCTTTCTTTTGGTGGGACTGCCAGCTGAGTCTTGCTGGAAGCACCGAAGGTGTAATGAATTCTGTGAGTCTTTAAACCATGTAATCTGCTTAATGACTTGAAACAAATTTGCCAACTTACTTATTTGGAATTTGTTAGACTATTTATTTGAATACACAGTACTCCACATGCACGCACCTGGTGTTATTTGAATTAAGGATGTGAGCTCATAAATGCTTACAGATGGATATTTAAATATTTGAGAGCCAACTCGTGTAAAGAACGTGCCGATCACAGAGACCAAGTCAGTGGGCACAGCCCAGATGTCCAGGCTGCGGGGCCCAGAGAGCCCTGAAACACAGCCCTGCCCGGCCGCACCGCCACCACCGCCAAGGGCGCAACTCCTCCATCAGGACGTGCTCTCACCTTCCCAGGCAAATGCCAACGCAGCCAGGGCTGGGAGCTCAGGGCCGGGGCAGGCGCACCCACACGCAAGCTGTGCCTCGCTGTGGGGTCACCTCCTCAGGCAGGAAGCCCTCCTTCCAACTTGTAGTTTTACCAAGACCACCCTAGGCCTCACCTTGGGGGCCAGTCTCTCACAATCTCATTAAAGGTCTGAGAGCAACACTCTCTTTACCCAACAACATCTTCAGACGGTATCCTAGGGGGAACGCAGCCTTGGCCAGTGTAAACCTCTCCTTCAACGTCAAGTCACAACCTGGGAAAGAATTCACTTTCTCCTTCATAAGAAACATGGACAGACCTGTGTGTATCATGTGATTTAAAAGGACAATAATTATTATTAACAGAATATTATTATAAATAATAATAACTATTGCTATTATACTTTAACAGTAGAGTTTATAGTTAAGCCAGAAGTTGGAAAAGCTATATTCATTTCAGATCTACTAGATTTTCTCTTCTGTTTTGATCTCTTGAGATGCTTCTTGTTGAGCCTTAAAATGAGCTAGAACAGGAGGCCCCAGTCATGGAACTCTGCCTGTTCCATTGGCCCAGGGCTCTCAGCAGAGCTGCCCTGCATCATCCTAGGGAGAGAATTCTGGGGGCCAGGTGCACTGACCCATCGCAGACAAATCCAGAGACTCATGTCACTACTGCCCGGCTTCCCCAAACTGTGCCAGAGGAACACCAGCTCATCACAGGTGCCCTGCACGGCTCCTCTAGAGGCTAAGGGCTCTCGAGGGAAAATGCACCCACTGGCCCTCGGGTGGGGCCCCCATCCCTACTCACACCACACCCGGGGCCGACACACCGTGCCCCCAGTGAACAACGGTCTGGGAGTGTGAGCAAACACAAAGTCCTATCCTGGCTGCACGCACACTCGCACACTCGGACACACACGCACACATGTTCTCTCTCTCACATACACACTCACCCCCCCCACACACCCTTATACCCAGGGCAGAACCTGAGGAGCTGCTCCTTCCATCAACCTCCCCCTGACCAGGAGGGACCTTCCACGGCTTCATCCTGGAATCACCGGCAGCCTGGGGAGGAGGAGGCTGGGCGGGATGCGGCTCTGTGGCACCTCCACCTGGAGTCTTGGTAGACAAGGGGGCACCTGACCACAAAGGCAATCCTTACTGAAGATGGGAAAAAGAATACTGCTTCGTTCTTTCTAAACATGACTTTGACTGTCATACAAAATAACACTAAACTCACGTTCAATCATTTAAATTCTATCAATAATTGGCCTTTTCCATTATACCTTATTTATGCAAGTGATTTAAAATAAAACTCTTAATTGCTTAAACCAGCACTGTCCAACAGAAATGTAACGTGAGCTACATGCACAATTTTAAATTTTCCAGTAGCCACGTTAAAATGAATAGAAATAGGTGATATTAACTTTTTTTTTTTCTGGTGAGGAAGATTAGCCCTGAGCTAACATCTATTGCCAATCCTCCTCTTTTTGCTGAGGAAGATTGGCCCTGAGCTAACATCTGTGCCCATCTTCCTCTACTTATAGGGGACGCTGCCACAGCATGGCTTGATGAGCGGCGCATAGGTCTGCTCCCGGGATCCAAACGTGTGAACCCCAGGCTGCAGAAGCGGAGCGCGTGACCTTAATCACTACACCACCGGGCCGGCCCCGATATTAACTTTTGTATTCTGTTTAACCCAATATAGCCAAAATATTATCATTTCAACACGTAACCAATCTAAAAACTATTAAGGAAATATTTCACAGTCTTTTTTTCATACCAAGGCCTTGAACTCCAGTGTGTTTGATGCTGAGAGTGTGTCTCGATTCAGAACAGCCAAGTTTCAGTGCTAGGAGCCACATGCGGCTTGTGGCTGCACAATGGACAGCACAGTCACATGGTGAGTTTAAAGTGGGGAGCTCTGAGACACGGGCACACCATGGCGCTACTGGTCCCGTAAAGACAGGACAGTGTCACCTCCACAGAAGGCCCCTCTGCCCTCTCGCAGGCGATCTCCACTCCCCCAGCCCCAGCCACTGACCGGCTCCCCGTCCCTACAGACTGGCTGTGCCGACTCGGACTCGAGAACACACATGAACGGCATCACGAGTTACGACTCTGTCCAGTTTCTCTGTCCAAGCGTCACGTGTCTAGACTCACTCAAGTTGCCGCAGGTGTCAGCAGTCCGCCCCACGTCCCGCTGAGCAGAGTCTAGCGTGTGGATGTCCCTCCGTCTGTCTCACATTCACCGGTTGGCGGACACGAGGGCTGTGGCTATTCTTTGGCAATAGTGAATAAAGCCGCTATGACCGTAAGAACACAAGTCCTTGTACAGACAGAAGTTTTTATTCCTCTTGGGTAAATACCTAGAAGAAGAATGGCTGGGTCACAGGGCAGGTGTATGTTTACCTTTATAGGAAGCTGCCAAACTGTTTTCCAAAGTGGCTGTGCCATTTCAACCCCCACTGGCCATGTTTGGAAGCCCAGGGGCTCCACACCTTCACCAACAGTTGATCTGTGAAATGTCAGCATCCCAGGGGGTGTGAGGCGGCGTCTCACTGTCGCTGTGAGCTGCATTTCCCTGGTGACTAATGATCATTTCACGTACTTACTGGCCATTTGTATATCTTATTTTGTGAAGTATTTGTTCAAATCTCTTTATATTTTTCAGTAGCTTGCTTGTCTTTTTATTATCAAGTTATAGGAGCTCCTTACATATTCTGGATACAAGCTCTCTGTCAATATATGCATTGTGAATATTTTCTTCTGGTCTGTGCTTGCCTTTTTACTTTCTTAATGGTGGCTTTCAAAGAGCAGGAGTTTTTAATTTTGATGAAGTCCAATTGTTTGAGTTTTTGGTTTATAGTTGATGATTTTGGTGTCCTAATAACTCTTTGCCTGTCTCGCCCCCAAGGTCGTGAAAACTCGCTCTATCTTCTTCTACAACTTCCATCGGTTTAGCTCTCAGGTTCGGTCCACAACATTCGGGCTAACCATCGTGTGTGGTTGAAGCTGGGGTCAAGGTGCGGTTCTTTCCCTGTGAAGACCCAATTTTCTGACAAAGTTTTGCCATCACACCGCCAGACAACGGGATAGTTCCTTCCACGTTTGGTTTATGGTGACAAAACAAGACAGCTGCCAAACTCCACGCAAACAAACCCGTCCCCACTGACTTCCTCCAGACCAAGTTCTTCCCACGTTAGCCTGCACACCCCAAGTCCCTCGGAAGAGAGGGCACTCCCCACCACGCACTGAAGCCAGGGCAGGCAAGCCTTGTCAGGCGGGGGGGGCCTACCTCAGGGCCACCCTACTCACCAGGGAGCAGCTGTGTCAATCCCTCCTGGACCCTGGCCACCCTGGAGTCAAAGCCACCTGCCCCCAGGCCCATCTTCCCCTTCCCACTCCCAGGCATCCTTGTTGACCCTCCTTCCTATAACTCCCCCCTCACCTCCACCTCTCAGTACATGTGGCCCCATCCTCCTTCCTCAATGACCCATTTCTGCCCGAGACACTCCCCCTTCCCCACATCCCCCAGGAGTGGAGGGGATCCATGTTCTCAGCCCACAGGTTCTATCCTCTCCTCATGTACAAGCCCATCATCACAGCCTCTGTCCTGCCAGACTGGTCTCCCAGCCCACTTGGGGGATCCTGGCACTGGCCACCTCAATCTTCCTCCATGTACTGTGGTCATCATCCAAGAACTCTAACGTGGACACCACAACTCCTGCATCCCACGACCTGACCTCCGCCGGGCCCACCATCTTCTGACCGCAGCTCCTGAAGCCCTCCCCAGAATCGCTCCTCCTCTGCAAGGGTTCCTGGTGCCTCCCCACTCACTGATCACATCTTCTGAACGTTCCATCCCCAGCTGTCCTGGCCTCCCGCCCTCCGGCAGATCCAAGAGCGCCTCTCTCCCTCTTGCTGTCTTTACAGGTCTGGGGTCCCAGGTTCCTCCAGTGCCTCCCAGTTCCTGAGCCCCCACCCACCCCAACCCGGCTTCCCTTCTGCCGTTTTCACCTTGAACCTCATGGATGGCATCTCAACTGCTACCCAAACTACTGCGCTTTGCTGCATCCGCCTGGCAAACCCCTTTACCCCTGGTGGGGACGATGGAGCTTTCCTACAACAAAACCTGGTGGCTGACTGTCACTAGCAGGGACACCCTGGACTGGTGCCACCACAAACATGGGGTCTCCAACGGCACTGCCACCAGCACTCCTAACGAATGCTCCCACGCTCAGGGGCTCATGACTGTCGTTTGTGGCTCTTCACAGACCACTGTGGTCTTCACTCTTCTGGGCGAGTTGTGTCACTGGCTGAATTTCATAAAGACCAACAGCATGCTTTGGTGTGAGCGCAACTTAAGTGTCTGTGCAACGTGCAGTGGCTACAAAGAGCTTAAGGGGAGCAGACGAGAGCCTTGGATTAAAAACGCCCTGTTGTGTTATGACAACTCATGTCATCTGCTGAAATAAATGGGATCACTTCAGTGGAACCTGGTGGTGTTGGAGTAGAAATAGCTGTCTGCTTTGGGGCTTGAGAATGGTTAACTTTTTTTCCCGATGAAATGAACGAAAATCACATTTTGATTATGAAAACTACCCTATGGAGGTTCTTCAAGAAATGAAATTACTCTTGAAAGCTATATACTGTAGAAAACTATACATCACAGCAAAAATCTGTGAATCACCCTTGATCATTCTTTAAAGCCACGTAACTTTCTCGGCACTCCATTCCAAACTCAGCCTGTGTCAACGGCCAGCTCCTTTGAACTGTGCACGGGCCTGGAGGGAAGATCCCTCTGCACACAAGCATCGTTACCGAAGTTAAGAGTTTTTTTACAATGACACATCTACTTTTTTCAGTTCTCAGCACGAACAAGGCTGTTTTGTGGTCTCTGTCAGTTATGCCAGCTCTGGAAGAGAGTTCTTAGTACAAAAATAATAAAAACACCACAGGTGCTTATTGACTTGCCTAAGAATCAGTAAGACATTGGGTAGAAAATCAGTAGGTGCATACAGACAATTTAGACCAGAGTTCCAGCTTAAGTCGTTCCTTTTGTGGCCAAAAAATAATGTGAGAAGCCAGACATAACAGCCAAGCGCTAGCACCTTGAGCATCACTCAGTCATTTAAAGATGGACTCCCTTCCGTCTGGATGACCATCACACACATTAACATCAGACACTTCGGTCACACCCAGGTTTGCTATCGTGCTTAGGGAGCTTCTCATTCCACACCCTCCCACCCAGCTGTAGAGGGCGAAGAACTGGGTCAAATCTATCAACGGATCACATGCTACTGGGGCCCCAGAGGGGAGACCAAGGTACCTCCACACCCCCACTTACCCGTACCAGTAGCGGGGGTCACTGGAAATGCAGTGGTTCAGGTTCCGGTGGGCCAGCGCCTTCTTTTTGTTGAGGACAAACTCTTGCAGCTTCATCTTCACTTCTGTGCTGGCCACGGCACCTGGCGTGGGAGGAAGCACAGAGACGGGCGATTGGACCTGCCCCAGGGAGGCAGCGGAGGGGATGCCAAGCTGTGTGCCAGGAAAGGGAGAGGGATGGAGACAGTGGGATTCTAATTCGGGATGCTGCTGACGCCAGGAGAGCTCCTCAAAGAAGGACAGGAGTTTTAATAAGAGGTCTTCTTTCCGTGAAGATTTTTACATAATTGCATTCTATTTAAAAAACAGATATAATCAGCATAAAGACTCATTGTTACCTAACACAAAACCCACTTCTGAAGGAAGTTTTAATATTCTTACATAAAAGAACATTCTGAATTAAGCACTGGCAGCATGGTGGATCTTTTCTCACTAGAGCAAAAGAAGCAGAATCGCAGAGAGGAGGTTTTGTGCAAACTGAAGCATCACGGGGGACGGGGATGACGCCCGCTTCCTGGGGGGGCTCGCTGTCACACTCCTGCAGACGAGCAGCCAAGTTCACTCCCAATCGAACCAAAGGGAGGTTTCTGTTCTTTCCAGCCGAGCAGCTGCTTACTTAGGCAGAGTGCATCTCACCACATGGGACCAAAGTCGAAATCGTGTGTTTTGCGGTTTTCTTGTGGTGGCGGCGGTTAGTCACAGCCCCATTAAAGAAAACTGGCAAGTTTGAGAAATAGACACGCACAAATGAAAGTCCAAGCCCATCGCCCTAACAAAAGACCTGCTAGCATCTACTCTGTTTTCCTCAGAGCTGCAATCAGACTCTGCAGCACTTTCCTATCCACCTTTCCATTTGGCAACAGTGTAAGTATTGCCCCTACATTACCATATAGAATTCAAGCAGCATTTTTACTGGTGGGAAAACACATCACGAGGTGAGCGAAGCATAGATTACAAACCAGTTCCTGACTGAGAGGCATTTTAGATATTCCTTTTGTTGTTGTTAGAAACCATGTTGCAGAACATTTATGAGTAGATATCATCATGCACATTTACATTATTTCCTTGGGAGAGATTAGCAAAAGGACTACATCTAACAAAAGTAATATTATAGCCCTTGAAGCATCTTCTAAATTGCTTCCCAAAATGCATCCACACTGACCACCTTGTGCCCTCCTATCAGCCAAGCAACAGGGGTGGGTACCTGCATCTTTATGAGTACTGGGGTTACACTTGATCCTGTATCTTTATCTATCAGTACTCGGGATTACCACCTGACCCTGTGTCTCTACGTA